TGGATTAATGGCGGATGTGCACAGTGAGCAGTTTGGGAAGCGGGTCGTGGAAAAACCCCCAGCAGCAGCAGGTGTTTGCTCTGTACGACAGGTGTGTGGAATTTTTAAAGGTGCAGTAAAGCGGGCATCTTAAAGGATGACTTTTCCACTCGCATGACGTCTTCTCGGGGGAGTGCAATCTGTCGGAAATGTGCAAAGCTGCCCCTACTAACCTCCACAAGTGAGCCGTTTTTGTGGACATGGGACAGCCTGCCTATTTGGACAAAAGCCTGTAAAGATTTGGCCTACTGGACCTCGGTTATCTTATCCGTCCTGGTGTCTGACGATCAGATTTAAAAAAAAAAAGGAGGACGGTGTCCTCACAGCTGGGATCACAGCTCATTTCTCACCCAGATTATTCCCGCTGTGTGGCACAGAGGTTCTGTCCTTTTTTTTTGTCCCCGGGTGTGCTGAGTGATTTGAGAGTGGCCCAGTCTTGAGCCCTGGCTGTCTGATGGCGAGCTGAACCGCAGCCAGCGGGGCTTAAAGGGAGGTCACCCGTGTGGACGCGTCCTGAGCTGACACGGTGGGATGTGTACAAAACAAAAAGCTGCACAGCTTCCGGGGGACAGCCAGGACAGCTTTGCACTTTTTATCTTTTGGTTGCTCCAAAGAGAGACTCACAGCACTGGAGGCCTGAATGCCTTTTGGAACACATGATTCATCTACATTCAACAAAGCGTCTGATAAAAGGCTAAATCCTTCCCCCGTGTTGTCATTTTTCTGTATGAATATCACACTTAGATGATATTATTTGAGGTCTGCGGAGGCCTTGGGTTGGTGATGTTGATGGGTACCGGTGTTTCTTTTGGCCTGACACTCCGCACAGAGAAATTTAAAGCGCGCACCCCAACCAAAACAAAATAACTCACACCACCGTGAGAGCTGGGTCAACAGTCAGCTGACGGCCCGAGTCTGAACCACTCGAGTTCAAAAAGAAGGGCGAGATGAAGGAGAACCTTCAGAGGAAGCGCACACGGAGGCATTCCACCAGCGAACCCCGCGGCGCGTCAAAAAAAACGCCAAATCCCAAACTAATCAGCTTAATAATGCCAGAGTCACCCAGGAAGAAGCTTCTCCACCGCGTGCACAGTGACAGAGCCAGAGTCCCAAAGGCCAGGACACGGGCCGCCACGGGCCGGCTACGGGCTCAAAGGCCCACGGCGGGCAGGAATAACCTGGAGGGCATGAACACCTCACCCCCAAAGGGGAATGCCTGTGGCTGTCAAATAAAGAAAGCTTCAGATGGCAGGCCGGGCCGGGCGCCGCCGGGGGGGAGAACGATGGGAAATGGTTGACACCCGAGAACCGGGGCGCGAGAATGGATGCAGCTGTGCTAGGACAGGTCTTAGCCCAGTTCCACGGCAGGTATGAGCTGGAAAAAGAGCCAATGCCAGTAATTCGGACAGCGTGCAGGGAATCCCCCACCCTGCCGTTTCCAGTGTGACAGTATTCCGAACATGCAGCAGCACCAGGAACCAGGAAAAGACAGACATGACTGAGGATCAGTCCCCATAAGTACACAACTCATCTCACATTACACAGTCATGTGATCCATCGCAGGAATATTGTGTAGCCATAAAGACACGACAACACTGCACACCCATTAATTTGTGGCTTTGCTGTGTGCCCAACGGCATCCAATAAAAACGCAGGCGAGCTGTTTTGACAAGCCTCTGTTCGAGTGACTGTCGAGAAGTTGGACGTGAATCGATGAAAAGGACACAAAACAAATGTGGATATCAAAAAGGGTTTTTTTATGACTTCAGGGAGCGTTATTAGAGTCTTTAAAGAGGCTCAGGCACACACGATCCAGCATTTCACTTGCTCCTTTACTGGTGTGGCCTTCTCGGCTGTCAGGGCCGGCCCTCTGCGTGGCCGGGCTCTCCGGCTGGTTTGTGCGGCTGCCGTCACGAGGTGTGACGCCCCGGGGGCTCTGCTTTCTCCTTTCTCCAAAACAACAACAAACAGGCCACACAGATCCCGTCTTAACAGTGGCCGGGTGTCCCGTTTCTGAGAAGCTTTGTGTTTAAAACGGCTCACAACCCCTGCCTCTCACACACCAGGCGGTGTCATCTCTGTCACGGCGTGAACGGACACGTCTGTGAACAGAACCGAATACCTGAAGGTGGTGTTCTAACACCTGTTATGTCACACTAAATGTAACAAACGCTCGTCCCATGAAAAAAACTAGTCAGGTGAGAGCAGGCAGGGAGAGGACTGAGCCATCCAGAGCGGGTATCCTGCACGTTTCCGTGATGGCTTTCCAGATACGTGTGTTGAAGAGCCAAACACTGGAGGGTAAAAGGCAGCGCCGGTCGAGTGAAAGCAGACTGGCCGTTTTTACTGTATGTTGTGTAACGCTGTGTTTATGCCATACTCAGAGGAGGCTAAATTTAGACAGGTAAGAAAATGGAGAGGATAGCTCTGACTAATGGACTATTGATATATAAAATCAATGGCTCAACATAAATAAATCAAGAACAGACAAAACAAGGAACTCACTAATTTTCTCAAATTCTACTTGTGTTTTAGTGTCTTTGCTGGATGATTTATGTATTTTCAATGCAAAGGAGCCCGTTTATGACTACCTAGTTTCTCAGTTTGACTTTTTTCATTAACAGGTTTATCTTCTTTGGGTTTTGATTAGTTTGTGATGTCATCACAAGGGTGAATGGGTTACCTTTTGAATTGTACAAATATACTACTGCTTTTTTTTTTATTGTCAACGTGCCAAATGCTGGCAAAAACCCTTTCAGGTGTGTAGGAAATAGGACGTATCACTGGGGAAAGCCTAATAGACAGTGTCTGCTACCTCACGTTCATTATTTATTTGCGAAAGGTCCCTTTAAGTACTACTCGGCATAGTTGCTACGCAGCCACCAGCCCTGAAGGCCGGTGGGATGCAGCTTTGAATGGGCACTGCTGTGTCGTAGATGTGGACGCTTTCGGACTTTTGTGTAGAACTGAAATGACGTTTGGTAGACTTATTTAGGGACAGATTTGTGTACTGTATTTATAACCCCTCTCGAAACGGAGTCGGCTGTTAAAGAGAGCGTGGACAGGGAAAGTGCCTCGCCCCCTCTGCTAGCTACGTAACGCAAGCTAGCGAGTAGCTAACCGGATGTATATGACAAATTCCTTCAGAATAAGAGCAAAGCTTTACATTCAGGGTCATTTCAAGTAGGTTTCTTGGCTGTGCGTTTTATACTGAAAGTCAGGGCTCTCTGTCACTCGTTGCTAAGTGACGCTTCCTTAACTACGGCGCTTTTTCTCTATTCTCTACGTGGTTCTCAAACTAGCCTAAACTGGATGGCCGAGGGCGCATCTGCCACAGTAGCAACAGCACGGAGAGAAATCAAAACAGTGGCGTGAAGAGAAACCCGGACACATGGACACACGGACATAGCTGGAATATACAACCACAAATCAGAGTCAACATGTAGAATTAAAGAGTGAAGTCTGTTTGAGTCATGGGTTCCCTGAATGGCACAGTGCGGACAGATTGGACATGACTAGGCCACAAAGTCACAACACAACCTCTGCATACCGCCCAGTTCCACACATTTCTCCACGGGAGGTCCTACCTCTTCCTCCCGTTCGTTCTTGAAGCACAGGCACGCTGCTCTTTTCTTAAACCCTTCCCCGTCGTACGTCCTGGTTTGGTTCGGTTTTAGCTTCATTGCGAGTTGCGTCGTTTTTCCTTTATGCAAAAATAAAACAGGAAAACTGTTGTTTTTTTCCCCCCTCTCCTGCGACGAGTTAACAGCAGAGACGCCGCATCGTTGCTGGTCTCCGCATCCAAGGTCCGAGATGGTCTGTCATCAATGGAGGGGGGGTGTAGGTGTGTGTGTGTGGGGGGGGTTGTTCGCAGTGACTCCCGTCTCTCGAGCTTCAGCTCTCCTTGGAAAAATGTGAAGGAAGACCGGCGAAAGGCTCCGGAGGCTACCTGTGATCTATAGGCGGCGGTGAGTGTGAGCGGTCCCGTGGGGAGAGATCTTATGAAGACTACATCTCACAGCCCTCCTCTGGACCCGTCTGCGCATGCCCGCTGACTCAATGAGCGCGCGGACCGGAGCCCTCGCGCGCACGGATCCGAGGCGGGGATGAGCTCATTGGCGGAGCCGGTCTGGACGGGCGGGGCTACGCTCGTAAACAGAGGCTGGACCCGGTCCAGCAGTGCTGCAGGAGGATTTCACAAGTCCACCAGTGCCCGTCCGGGCTGTCCAGCCCCTAACGGGGATGAAACGGTCCAAACGGCCTTTTTAGGCCGTTCTGTGCTGGACTGGAGCTGCTTTCTGTGCGTTTGTTTTCGTTTAGCTGCTCTCTGGAATCTCGTCTTTCATTACAAGTGATTTAACACTGATTGAGAAGACCTTTTCTTAATTTGCTTGCCTCGAAGTAACTAAACAAGAATATCAGAATAAACTGACATATTCTGCTAAGTCAACTCTTTTACATAAAAGTTAAGCTTACAATCTCACCTACTTATTTGCTACTGGGGCTTTGCATAACTTTTTAAAGAAAAAAAAACATGTATACAGACAGTGGCAGCTTTATAGTCCAGGCAAGATGTGTTATTATTGAAATAAAAACACTGTTTGTCACAGTAGACTTTATAGGGCAGGCAGCTCTCACTAGGCATAAAGGGAACTAAAAACAGATCACATGACAGAGGTCTAAGCTTGTTTCTCCCAGAAAGATGAGTTAACTCTTAGAAATCTGACTTGCCTCTCTTTTTTGTGAAAATTCACTCTATAGTATTACTAATGGCTGGTATTACATTTGGCAAAGAAAAAAAAACACTGCCACATTTGTAAAACAAAAACAAAAACCTGGACATTCCAATGTTTTGGTTTTTTCCATCTTTGGGGGCGTCGGGTTCGGGCTCCTGCTACTGTACACGTTTGCTCAATTGCTGTTATGCAATTTAGTCATTCAGGAAGATCCCCAAATCCTCTATTTTTCCACTGAGCCCTGAAACAAGTTTGCAGTTCTTCTTTAAAAGACTAATACATGTGCATAGAATAAGAGATTGTATGTATATTGATGGTGTAATGGAGAAATCCATCACTGTCAGAACTTTCCTGGATTAAGTAGAACTTGTACTTCTCTTATTATAAAAAGTGAGATGTATGGTAATCAAAGGTTAAGCTTGATTGAAATAAAACAAAACAAAACATGCCAGTCACATTAATTAGAACGAACTCTCCACCTCTTCTTAACATATTAGGGTCAGACTTGGTTGCAATGTCAGTAAAAGCTAACAACTAAAAACCACCTTCAATCTTTTATGATCGTACGAGTCACCAGGACTGCTTTATTGTACTTTTATGTTAGTTTTCTTTGGGAAGTTCCCTTTTCAACGTTCCACCTTTTGTTTAATCACAGATGAAGTTCCATTCTGGCTCCTTTTATTTGCTTCTGATCATTGCATAAGTGTCTGTGTGGTCAAAGGTGTGCTGCGGCTGCTTATTTGTTAAAACTACCACTCTATTAAGGTGGACGTTTAGGTGGAAATGTGCGTGAGGTCACGTACTCCATGTTCAGTCAAATGTGTCGGGAAATCAAAGAGTTACTCCCTCTTTTCATTGGATTTCGTATCATCTTAACAAGAATGTCTTTTCGCAATTGCTCAATCACAGACAAATTTACGTACGCCCCAAAAAAATTCAAGTCAGAGATCTGTTCTGCAAAAGAGCCTTCTGTTGTTTTTCTGAATCAGCATCACTCCCGACATTCCCTTCAAAACGAGTCAGACCTCCACCAGATCTGGTGGAGGTCTGACTGGCTTTTTAAAGGGGGTACCACAGGGACCTGCACCTGGACCATGAACAGCTGGGACTTCTTACCTGGGGAGGTAAGACGCTGCTACCCTGATGCCGCTGACGACTTCTGATAAGCCAATTACGGTGTGAGTGTGTGTGTGTTGATGACGCCGTCTGGGTGTGTCCCGTTGGCTCCTCCCACAAAGCTCACCTTTGACCCGCAGACTGTGCAGAACCCAATTACCAAAACCCTCCACGCGGCAACAAAAGCTAGCTGACCTCCGGAGGGCAAAGATCAGGGACTTAATGCTGATCAAAGCGAGCCACAGACTGAGACAGTCTCCATGTCTGTGAAGATAATTGATTCTTTGTATTTTCAGACAGCCTTTCAGGTTACACTGCACTAAACAGCGGACGCTAAGATACCATTTGACTCTCTGTTGTCATGACATCCATCGGACATCCATCAGATGAATCCATTAATCCATAGGGATAGATTTAATCAGCCATTAATCAAACACAAGGATATCTGAATGGAAAACCCAGAGTAGGAGTGGAGAAAGGCCACAGCCGATGAGTAGGGTCGGGTAAACAAATGTACAAATGAAACACAGTGTGACATTCCTCAATGTGTCAGGTTGTATTGGCTATCCACCGAAGGTCAGTACACAGATACATGGATTAACTTTGGATATTCTGACAGCTGAGTCGGTGATTTTCAGCGTCCTGAGAGCAGCCTCAGAGTGCTGTTTCACTGTTGTGGGCTCTTTTCCAGCAGGCTCTGACAGACTTCTTTTTTAACCAACTAAAAATCAGCATGTGCAGATTTCCAACTGGGCTGCACTCTATCCCTCTGATGGTAGTACGCCCATCCTGTAGTTTATGTAACTGGAAGCATCATCAACTTGTTTTAGCACTCTGATGTGATAACAGGCACTTTATCATATGATGAAGGTGACAAATAAAGCATTGGATAGTTAATTCTATTAATGTGAAGCTGGTAGCAGCTGAGTAGCAGCCCATTTGGATTGCTATTTATAGAGCTTTGTTAATGTTTGAAAGATAGAGATAAGGTTGAATAATCTTACATCAGATCATCTCGCAGCAGAACTATCTGGGAGGCAGAGTGACAGGCTCACTGGTGTCAAACTTTGAGATTTTCATCTGTTTTGCTTTGAACAGGATTTGCAATAACTGACTTAATAGATTGAAATTAAAACCCAAACTCTTGGATCTCAACAATATCAGTCACCCCAGAGAAAATAAATCTGTCTGTCATCGTACACTTACAGTGGCTTATCATCATCATCTTGAATTGCTATGAAAGCCTATTAAGGTGTCCACTTTTAGCAGAGGTGTGAGGGGAATAGAAGGCTCTGGTTTCTCCTGGCTCTCGCCGGGACAGATGGAGGCCAGAACTGAACGTTTGTCTGTCACTGTCCTGTCTTTATCACCACCGTCAGGGGGCATCTGTTTTCTGACAACATAGTGGAGTCAAGCAAGACACGATGACCCACGCGAACCAAAATATATACACGCACCAACATCTGAAACAATGCAGTGTGAACCTGTACACTTCCCAACACACTCTGTTGGCCCAATATCTGTTGTTCTTTTGCCTGTGATCCACTGAGAGTCGTGTAAGATCCTGAGCTGATTAGCACACCCACAAGCTCAGCTCTGAGATTCCAGCCGTGAGCACTGTGAGGGAAACAGTTGCCACAACATCAGGATGAGGACAATAAGGTATCGTCCATTCCCTACTAAACTTAGGTAATGACTGGCCATAAAGCATTAGATATCGGGTTATTTTTAGACCTGGACACCTGCTCCCCTGCTGGGTCTCTACTATTAGAGGCTGCCGTTCAAAACCAGGCTCTAAAGAACTCATCCATCCCATCCAAATCCATCATAAGAAGCAAAGGTGGGGGGGGTTGTTTGCAGGTTCTGAGGGGGAGATGGCAGCGAAGGCAGTGATGAAGTGAGATCCCGAAGGCTGGCAAGGCTGCCAAGACGGATGTTAACCGCTGTCAGCGGCTGAATAAGGAGCCTGTGCCACCTCTTCAAATTGATTTATGCCTTCCATAAAGAGGCTGTGACGGAGAACCGGCCTCAGATCCCCGCTCACGTCAGCTTTGGCAAAACCCCAAAATGTTGCATTGTGTTGGTAAAGACTTCACTCCATAACTGTCAGGGATCAGGACTGACCAGGATCAGGACAGACTTGTCTTAATCAAAATTGATCTAGGTGTTTAGGTGTGGGAATAAATTATTATCATATTTCCAGTTTTGACCAAAAGTCGTGCTTTCTTCATCTCATAAATAATCCAAGGTTATAGGTAAGAAATCAACAGATTAGTAAACGATGATACCTGATTTTCTGGTCTCCACATCTCCTGAGGAATCCTGCTGACTCCTCAGCAGTGACATGTTCTCTTGGTTAACCGGCTAATCTGTCCAACAGCTGATGCCAGGCTGCCAAAGAGCAACGAGGCTGGATTTCTATTTTGGGATGAATCACAGCATTGAAGACCAGAGGTGTCATAATGGACAAGGCTGTTCTAACACCTGTACTGTTAGAGCCGGAAATGGGCAGCCACTGATTGGAAGAAATAAAAAAGAAGACAACACCAGCCTTACTTTTTTCTTTTTTTGTATAAACAGGATTCAAAGCCAGAGATGGAAGCATGACAAAAACATGTTTGTATTGAGTGAAGGACACAATGGGTGCTTGTTGATGCATTTAAAAACCTGTCATTATGATAGCTGAGGATAATGTAGACTCAGAGTGAATAAACACCACTTAGGGTGACTTTCTAAGAAAGACAGGATACGTTTGTGGTGTTTGCTGTTGACAGCAGATAACCACAAATAAGATAATATGTCATTAAATAATGTGGACAAGAAAAAACTCTCTAGCTAGTTTTGGTTCTCTCAAATACAGATAGATGTCTAAACTATTAACATGTTATTGTTCACAATTGCTCCTCTGTCTCCCTGAGGTGGAACCAAAACAGAGACAGTCTATAATCATGGGAAGATTAGACTTTAAGGAGTATAAACAAAGCCAGACAGTATGATTGAGTGTGGGAAAGTCGTCTGAAACAAAGCCCCGAGCTGGGACGACTGGTAGCTGGGGAAAAGGAGGTGGTCCACCCAAATGAGCGGCTCAGACCTCAGCACAGGCCTACGGGAAGGCCTCTAAAAAGACAGGAAATCAAGCCTCTGCATATAAATGGAGGAATGCCAGGTTACAGACATGCTCTGAGTCACTGGTAACCTGTTACCTGAACCTGACCCTGAAAAGGACATTGAGACTGTTTCTCATCACATCAACATTCAGGTCTTTGCTGTTTGGGATGAACCAAAAAAAAACATTGCTGTATATACATAAATAGACAGGTACACTCTACAGCACACCAAAAACAACACCATTTTTCCACAAACATCTGAATTTCACTTTTACATCGCTCACCTCTGACATGGAATGGACTGTAAACTTTGTTATGTCAAGTCAGGAAACAGGAAAACCTGATAAAGTCTTCAAAAGTGCTGTTTTTTTTACTACAGTAAACAGTTGAGCTTAACACGTGGTCCAGTGGATTTCAGAATGACCGCGGCAGCATTCCCTGGAAACCAACAGTGTGTTTAATGTAAAGAAAGTGCATCACACAAAACAAAAAATGCGTTAGTCATAACGGGCCAACAAACAGCCAGCTCGTTCGGTGGTCAGTGATGAATCATCGGACAGGCCGCGTTTTGTTTTGCCCACACCACTGCAACAACAGGAAGGCAA